ATTTCTCATCCCTGCTTTAATTTGTGTTACTTCATTGCAACTTTTTCTCACATTTGGCTTAAATGTCTGAAGTAAATACAAGCTAACAAGTGAAGCAAAATCTTTCATTTTCCTTTTGATAAGAAAATGTAAAGATTTATGAGAGCAAAGACAGAAGTGTCTATTGAGGTAGTGATACAGAAGGGGATGAATGGAGAGAAAGAAATCAACAGGAAGAAAGACACAGAAAAGGGATGAGACAAAAATAGCAGACACAAAGACAAAAGAATAGAAAGAGCTACAGAGAGGTGTGGTTGCAGACACAGAGATTGAAAGGGGACTAGATGGTTGCAGGAATTCATGGACTGATGTACAATTACAATAGACATTTTACCTGAAAACAGTTCTAGGTTTATGAACAGGTGTTTTATCATTGTTAGTATGTTCTGAAACTTTGAAAATAATTCTGTATCATCTCCCCTCCAATTTGTAGTTGATTATACAATTTCATCTTTACAGCGTGGTGGAAACAGGATTAGATCACACACTTGGACTGCATAGCTTAGAATGTTTTGCAAAGCAAATAAAGAGCTGCCATTCTTGGTGCCACCTAAGTATTATAAAATTCTCATGAATAGATAAATCTGAAATGGCAGAAGAATCTAGTAAGATCTTTGCTTAGCCAGTTAGACAGGCAAAGATCTGTCATGTGTCAAATTTCAGATTTATTAGTTTCCCCCACTACCCATCCCCACATCCCTCCTCCTCCAATCCAAGGTCTGAATTACAAGGACCCATCTGGCACTAGATTCTTCAAGGGCAGAAGCTGAAAACTTCCATTCTTTTTTATTAAAAAAATCCCGGTGTTACATTTTAACTGAATTTCATATAGTAGGGATGGGGCATTCAGAACTTTTTATTGCTTTGCTGATCTCTTGTATTATATACTCTTTCCAAAGAATACTGCTGTGGTCTAGGCTTCTATTCTCTCAACTCTGAATCTGGTATCAAAGACAACTCAGGATATCTGATTTTATGTAAATAAAAGAAATGAGTACAAATAGATTGCAAGGCTACAAGCCAATCAAGATTTTAAGATTTATTGGCCATGGATGTAATACCAAGGTTTTCAGATAAACATTTTTTGAATTAAATCGTAAAACTTTTAGCCTGTTCAGGATTCAAATATTATGTTATTGTTATCACTGAAGTTTCACAACACTACAAAATAGTTTTACAGAAAAACTAGCTGCAGGATACATAAATATGTGTGTGTCATCATCCACTTACATATAATCTGTCCAAGGCTCTAGTTTTGTTTCTGTAAATCTACTCCCTTTACATGATTCTTTTGCTAAAATTTTCTTGAATTCTCTTTGTTTACGGAAGTAAATAAAACTCCCAACTTCTGTTATCACATGTACCTGTCACCCATTTTGTTCTCTTTCATTAAACTTCTCCCTCAAAGAGGCAAAAATGTTCACTTTTATTCTCCAAATCTAAAATTTGGCAATATCAAAACAATCACCACCACAAAATAGAAAGAAATTCCCTTTTGGCTTCTTTTCACTTTCTGCATTCAAATTGCCATATCTATTCATCTGGCTCCATGCTCTGTCCACAGCTTGGACCATGGTGTCACCTAACCCATAAGTGAGTTCTCCATAAGATGGATGTAAGAGGTCATCAATGAGATGACTTGACCAATTTGTATGTTTCCAGAAGATCCATGTTGGGATCCTGAAAGAAAGAGATGGGTTACTGATATATTTAATTTCATGGCAAACCTGAGCTCTTCTTTTGTCATTAAATATTCCATCTCATATCACTAATCACAGTCCACAATGTCTTCCTTTTTTTGATCTCTTACATTGGTTATTATCAGATTCACTTATTTGATGTTAGTCATGTATCAGCTTCTGACAATTTTGCAGAGGGAAATTTTGTTATACCTTTATTGTTATTTACATTTCCATTGTGCTTTATTTAACATCTCAACTATATTTTAAACAACTTAAAATGGTGGAAGCTTGGTGCGGTTCAATAATTGTGGCACAGATACTAATATTACATTTTAATATGAGAAATAGAGTAAAGGATGTATGGGAGCTCTTTGTATTATTATCTCATTTTTGTTTTATAAACATAAACTATTCTGAAATAAAATATTAAAAAAAAAACTAGAGGACCTGAGCTATTTTGATTACTGGCATTTTAAAACTGCAGGTACATTTTGATATGGCTGAAAAGTAAATGATGAATTACAGGGAGTGGGGTTGTGATAGAAGGCGGTCAAGGATTAGAATGAAGGATAATGGATTTAAGGGATGGTAAGAAGTTTAAGAATAGCATGAGGGGTAATGGCAAAGCTTAGAAGCAGGATGTGATTTGGCTATGAAGTAAAGGTTATAATGTTGTTTGATAGCTTAATTAGATACTTAAAATATTTCACATTCATTATCTGGTTATTTTGCATGAATGCATTAAAAACAGTACCAGTAACAATGTTCAACTTTGGAACATGCTCTAAGATTTTTGAACACACCCAAATAATAGCTAGTACTGGGGACAGCATTGTAGCATAGCAGGTTAAACTTCTGCCTGTGATGCTGTCATTCCACATGGGTGCAAATTTGAATCCTGGTTGTTCCACTTCCTGTCCAGCTCCCTGCTCATGTGCCTGGGATACCAGCAGAAGATGGCCAAAGTGCTTGGGCCCCTGCACATACATGGAGACACAGTAGAAGCTCTGGGTTCCTGGCTTGAGCCTGATTCAGCCCCAGCCATTGTGACCATTTGGGAAGTGAAGTAGCAGATGGAAAATCAGTCTCTCTCTCTCTCTCTCTCTCTCTCTCTCTCTCTCTCTCTTCCTACTTCTCCTCCTCCTCCTCTTCTTCCTTCTCTCTCTCTCTCTCTCTCTCCTCTTATCTCTGTTACTCTTTGTGGGTGCATCTGAGAGAGTGGGCAATGTTTTCCAGAGAATAAAAATGTGCAACTTCTTCTAATGGATGCCCTTTTAAACCAAGTACACAGCTTGATGAGTCATGACTCCCTACCCTGGTAGTATCCTTGTATGATCTACAACATGGTCAGCCATATATAGAAAACCTCCCTATTGCCGGCGCCGTGGCTCACTAGGCTAATCCTCTGCCTGCGGCGCCGGCACACCGTGTTCTAGTCCTGGTTGGGATACCAGTTCTGTCCCAGTTGCTCCTCTTCCAGTCCAGCTCTCGGCTGTGGCCTGGGAAGGCAGTGGAGGATGGCCCAAGTGCTTGGGCCCTGCACCCGCATGGGAGATCAGGAGGAAGCACCTGGTTTCTGGCTTCAGATCGTCTCAGCGCGCTGCCCATAGCAGGCATTTGGGGGGTGAACCAACGGAAGGAAGACCTTTCTTTCTGTCTCTCTTTCTCTCACTGTCTAACTCTGCATGTCAAAAAAAAAATTAAAAAAAAGAAAACCTGCCTACCATACAAAATAATAAAAATTATAATCACAGAACCTTGATAATTTGTTACTATATACAAAGTATGTAAATAACATGTGATTTATGTAAACATTTATATACTTTGACTATGTTAGTAGGTATTTATTTTGTTAAAGCACAGCCCAGGCTGGCGCCGCGGCTCACTAGGCTAATCCTCCGCCTTGTGGCGCCAGCACACCGGGTTCTAGTGCCGGTCGGGGCGCCAGATTCTGTCCCGGTTGCCCCTCTTCCAGGCCAGCTCTCTGCTGTGGCCCGGGAGTGCAGTGGAGGATGGCCCAAGTGCTTGGGCCCTGCACCCCATGGGAGACCAGGATAAATACCTGGCTCCTGGCTTCGGATCAGCGCAGTGCGCCGGCTGCAACGGCCATTGGAGGGTGAACCAACGGCAAAGGAAGACCTTTCTCTCTGTCTCTCTCTCTCTCACTGTCCACTCTGCCTGAAAAAAAAAAAAAAGCACAGCCCAGGATTCCAGGAATACTTGTGACAGGGGCATAATTATTAGCTCCAGCGGGTGGAATATAACACCACGGAACAAGGTAACCGTAAGTGATTCTATGGAAAAATATTATAATCATTGTCAAGGGAAACAATCAAATAAGCAACTTATTTTATTTTCCCCAGAAACCATTTATTTAAGGAATACAAACTTCATATGTTTCATAATTACAACTTTAGGAATATGGTGATTCTTCCCACCATATCTGCCCTCCCACCTACACTCCCACCCCTCCTCCTACTCCCTCTCCTATTTCCATTCTTATTTTTTTACTAAGATCTGTTTTCAATTAACTTTTTGTACATATGATTAATTCTATGTTAAGTAAAGGGTTCAACAACTAGTATGGGAAAAAAAAAAACTGTTTCTCAACAGTCGAGATAAGAGCTGTTCAATGTCATTGCTTCTCAAAGTGTCAATTTCACTGCTACCGATGACCTTTTAGGTGTTCTGTTAGTTATCACAGGTCAGGGCGGACATATGGTATTTGTCCTTTTGGGACTTGCTTATTTCACTAAGTATGATGTTTTCTACTTTCATCTATTTTGTAAGCAATTTATTTTTAACAGTGGATTTATAGTAACAGTCAAAGAGAAATTGAAAATGGAGACATAGTTGTATACACACATGTGCTTAGTACTTACTGTGCAGTCCTTGCTTTCAAAGAAGAAATTCTTCAATCAAATAGTTTGCACAGTATGCTCCATCATATAAATCAACTGATGGTTTCCTCATGTTACAGCAACTGCTCACCAATAACCACTGAGTTGCAAAGTGACATTTAAAAATTTATTTATTAGAATAGCAAAGCAAGACAGAGACAGACAAAATGACAAAGATTTCTTTGTGGGAGGCAGGGCCCGTCTCCCACAACATGGCACTGAGAGGAGGTGAACAAATTTTACACAGCTGCTTCATCAATTTGACTGCTAGAAACTGCAGGAGCTGATCCAACCTCGTATTGGAAGAGAACGGCGTGCTCAGCGCGTGGACAGAGGAGCACGGATTGGTGGAAGAGGACCATAAAGGGGGAGAGAGACGGCACAGGAGAGAGTTCGTTGGAGAGTTAGTTGGGGAGTTCGTTAGAGAGTTTGTCAGTTCGTCCGCTCCTTTTTTCTTACTGTAATAAAAACTCTACCGAAGAGGGATCAACAGCGTCCGGTGTGGCTCCTCGGCGGGCGGGGGAGCAACATTTCTTGTCTGCTGGTTAACTTCACAAATGCTTACAACATCCAAGACTAGACCAGGCTAAAGCCAGGATCCAGGAACTTGGTCTGAGTCTTCCATGTGGTGGTAGGAACCCAACTACTTGAGCCAGCACCTGCTGCCACCAAAGGTGTACATAACCAGGAAGCTGGAATAAGAAGTGGAATTGCTTCTCCATCCCACACATCTGATATTGGGCTGTGAATAACCCAAGTAGCATCTTTACCACTATGCCAAAGGCCAGCATATCAAAGTGATTGTGAGTAGCTGCTTAAAGAATTTCTGTTTTGTTCAATGCAAGACAATACACATCATATTTTAATGGAGAGTTAAATCGCACCTTGTTAAAAACCAGGGAGCTCAAACTTATTCATGCTATGTGTCTGAATGCCTGAAACATTAATTAAATCATTACCCTATTTTTGTTGCCAACCATGCAGAGCTATATTGTCCTAAGGTTTCTTCCACAGAAGATAGCAATGACAAAAGACCAGATCATCCAGCCCATATTTCTCAATCCTGGTACAAGAAATACTTCTCTCAAATACTAGTTCAGGTAGAGTAGCTAACAGAGACAAAGGTAAGAGCGGAAGTTATTTCTCTTGGTGTGTTTGTAGTAGGAATATAGGACTTTTAGAGCTGGATGATGCCTTTAGAAACTGATATTACACCATGCTTTTGGGATAGGACACAGGCACCATGTGGTATCTAAATGATTTGCAGAAGGTCACACACTTTCACCTTCAACTCACGGGATCTGTGGTTTCTTTTGGAAAAGCACAACTGAATACAGTCCCGAAGGCCATACCTCTGTACCAAACATTCTTTTTCCTTTTCTGATATCATCATGATCTGCCACTCTTTACTGTGGTGCCTCAGGAAGAAGCAAGGGAGTCTTAAAAACCACCCAGCTCTCCAGATTCAATTGGCAGGTTAATCGAAAACAATTTTTTTATAGCACAATAAAGGGCCTGGGAACAGTGGAACATTAATATTTGTTTCCCAAAGAGTGGACCCTGAGAGAATAAAGCTGCATGCAATTGAATTATGGTACCCATAGTGTGGGGGGATACACTTCTCATTGCTTCATTTTACACCACCATTAATCAGATGGCGAAGAGCAAAGGCCGCCTCACCAACTGCTCCCAGGGCACCCCAAGAACATTGTCACCCCTACATCCTGGGGAGGGCAGGCAGCTTTCCTAACTATCTGATGTGATTACAATATAGTTTTCATGATGCATTCTTAATAAAACAAAAGGTGGCCTTTTGACAAAAATATCATCCGGTTTTTTTTATAATGTAAAATACAGCAATTTTATCAGCATTACCACTGATTGGTTGCCATTAGCCCCTTGCCTTCTAATAAAATTTATGATACCTTTCAGGAGCCCAATTTGATAGAAAGTGAAGTGATTGCACCCTGCTTAGATATCTCTCTGGCATCTATTCCAACAATAATGCGGTAATTTTATGCATGAAATAGCACAATTGGCATAAATAGTTATAATACTGAGTGCTGTCTAAGGAAACTGGCTGGTGGAAAATTAGAAAGCGCTTCACACTTTTGAAACAGGTAATTAGGATTTTTCTTCGTGCTCAAACAAGGCAGACTGGAGTTTCATTTTATATTTCATGTTTCATTAAAATATAGGTGTTAAAAATAAATGTTGAATTTAGAATTGCATATATTATGAAATTAAAGGTATAGCACATGCTGGGGGTGAAAAGTGTACAATGGGACCTTGGAGTGTCATATTTAGTTGCAGGGGGAGTATGTTTTTTAAAGTTTGGACAGGTAACAGAGCCATGTTTCAAGCATGCTACTTTGAAAAGGATTGATTTAGAAATAAGTTGCATTCAATCACCAGGTCTTTAGCCCAAGAAGCAGTAAGCTGCCTTGATTTAAACTCTAACTGAGGATGATCTGTTTTAATTGGCAGGCAAAGGTAGGTTTAGGGTCGTGAGGGATTCGCTGAGCAGTTTTGAACTTTACATCGGGCTCAACAGTTTTCTGTCTATCCCAGATTTCTGTACTGACCTTGGCTGCTCATTCAGACCTGAGCCAACCCCCGATGGAATCTTTTTTATTCTCTTGAACTGTGCTGTAGTTTTGGGAGGTGGGCAAAAGGCTGTAATGACACCATTGTATTAACCTCCACTTATGACCCAGCTGAGGGCAGGCTTTTAAGTTTTCCCAGCTGTGTCATTAAATGTGTTTCTCTGGCCCCACTGACATGACACCATCACAATCCCAGCCACAGACTAATGACCAAGTTGTGAAGGCAGCATGTTGGAGAAGGGCATACCTACGGATAAGAGTCCAGAAAATGGGGCCTGTGTCTTCTTGTTTTCATATGACTACCCATGTGGCATTATGCAGAGTACTGAGCCCTGATGTGCTTCAATTTCCTCACCTGTAAAATTGTGTCCTCATTCTCTGTATTAGAAGTTTGTTGTGAAAATACAGATTGCAAAATATGTAGGAAAAAAGATAAAGAAAATGCATCTCTCCATGGATGTACAGTACATCACCATGTTTCTTATAGAACTATACTTGGGGCAGAATCATTTACCGGTTACTCAAAGACTGATGCATTCAATAGAAAGAAAGGTTAGTTTGTGGACCAAATTAGAGAAAACTGTGTGGCTATCAAGCTTTCATTAACTCACAATTTTCTGCCCCCCACTCCCCACAAGTGTTGTCAGTGATTTAGCTTTAGTGCTTCAAAACTCTGCTTCCTGCCTTCACTCTAATGGAAGCTCAATTACTCTATGGTCCAAGAAAAAGGCATCCTCACCAGTTTCTTCTTTCTTAACTGGCTTAGTAAATGCTGTTCATTCACATGCCCAACTCATATATTAAGAATTGTTTAGGGTTCCTTAAAAGGAAAGAGAAGCTGATCATGCAATAGCTTCCAAACCAGTAAACTTAATCTTTTCTGATTTCTCCCCTGAATTTTTTAACAGAAGGGAGAGAGAGAGAAAGAGAAAAGCAAAAATTCAGAACTTGAGGTAACAGCAAGACATGGGTAAATAGAAAGCCCATAGGCAAAAACTCTACATAAAGAATGTTTATAGAAATCTAATGAGACACAATGATGTAATGCCATGTCCAAGCATTGCACGAATTCAAATTATATTCAATAATTGTAATAATGGGGAGAAATAATTTCCAAAATTAAAAACCTCTTTGTTGAGATTCACAAGAGTGCATGCAATTAGTCAAATAAGTTGAAAACAAGTTCACACAAAATCCTACATAAAAATATTTGTATTAGCTTCATTCATAATTTTCAAACATTGGAAGCAACCAAAGTTTCCTTCCATAAGTAAAGGAATAAACAAAAATGGCATATATATAATAGGAAATATTTGTAATTGATAACAAGAAATGAGCTATCAAAGCACAAAACAGCATATGACAATTTAAATGCATATTTCTAAATAAAAGAAATCCATATGAAAACATTACCTACTTTATGGTTCCTACTATGTGACATTCAGGAAAAGGCAGAGACATTAAAAATATCAGTGTTGAGGCCAGCACCATCTGCTCACAGGCATCCCATATGGGTATGGGTTTGAATCCCTGCTCCTCCACTCCCAGTTCAGCTCCCTGCTAATGCTTGGGTCCCTGCATCTACATGGGAGACCCTGATGAAGTTCCTCACTCCTGGCTTTGGCCTGGTCCAGCCCTGGCCATTGTGGCCATTTTGGGAGTGAACCAGTAGAAAGAGAATGTCTCTCTCACCCTCTCTCTCTCTCTCGCTCTGTGCGTGTGTGTGTGTGTGTGTGTATCCCCCTCTGCTGACTTTCAGATAAATAAGTCTTAAAAAAAATCAGTGCTTGCAAGGATTTGGAAAAAGTGAGTGGGGGTGGTGGAACAAATGTACCAAAGGAATATTTAGAGAAGTTAAACTGATATGACCCTACAATAGTGATACATGTATTAGACATTTGTCAAACTCATAGAATGTATACAGACTGCACCATTTTGTACACTATGGACCAATCAACAGTAATGTTTTGGTATTTATCCATTGCAATAAATGTACTTCATAATACATAATGTTAATAATAAGAGAACAGGTGTCAGGTTGTGATAAATCATGTTAAACTGCTGCCTATGATGCCAACCAACATCCTTTCCAGTTCTAGTCCTGGCTGCTACACTTCTGATCTGGCTCCCTGCTATTGGGCCTGGGAGAAGCCACAGAAGATGACCCAACTACTTCACTCCTGCCCCCTATGTGGGAGACCTGGAAGGAGCCAAATGCTCCTGGCTTTGGACTGACCCAGACCTGGCTGTTGCAGCAATTTGGAGGATGAAAGATCTCTCTCTCTCTCTCTCTCTCTCTTTCTCTCTCTCTCTCCATCACTCTTTCTATCTTTGTCTCTCTGTATCACTCTCTCTCTGTAACAGACTTTCAAATAAATAAATAAATCTTAAAAATTATCAGAGAACAGGAAGTATAGGGGAAGTGTTGCATGCTATTTGAGAATTCTGTGCTTTTCACTCAATTGTCCTATACCTAAAATAATTCAAGATAACTAAAGTCTATTATTTTGTAAAGTACATGTAAAATGTTTTTGTATAATGAACATTGTCTTAAAATTCTTGTAGATATGAGAGCAAGAGCAAGATGTAACAATAATTTAGAAAAACATTACTAATGATTTAATAATTCAAGTTGTATAAAAACCATACTATTAAAAGAGCAACTGAATTCATTGTAAGTAGTGCTGTAGGACTTCTGGGAATTATTCTAAATTTCAATAGAAAATAAAGCATAAAGCAGAGAAGGAAGAAATGCATAGCTAATAATTTTACTGTAGACACTGTTTGGTACTCCCATATAATGATTGCAATGTAAAGATGGAAACTATTAATATAATAATATATTGGTATTATCAAGTAATCCTTGAAAAAGTGTCTAGTCTATCAAAGAGGTGATAGTGCAAAGAAAATTTGGAACAAATGTTATTTTCATTTATCTTTATTGTGACACCAACTTCTAGACATACGTTGTTTCATGTTTTAATTATTGTGCATTCATAATTAAGATAATTTGAAAAAAGATTTTAAGAAGATTTTCACAAAAGCCATTGACTCTAGCATATTCCTCTTCACTCTATCATTTATTTCATGAATAGGGGGATGTTTCTAATTAACTAATCTGATGATATTCTTTCTTCCACGTTGTGGAAAGAACTTCATGCTCCTCAGGAGAGAATATTTGAGAGAAATATATCAGGCTTTGTTTTCCATATCTGGTCACTCATTCCTTTCTGAAAAAGACAATGTAATGGTTTGATTGTTAACAAAACTAGGATAAAGGTCTCTTTCTGAGCCCTTCCTCTTTCGAATTTTTGAATCTGACTGAAAGATGGCCATGGTCTCTTAAGCTTCTATTTCCCAGTGTTGAGAAACTTTGGAACTATTTTGCTTGATTCACTGCCTATAGCATCTGGCACCTGGCACATATATAGTATGTGCTCAATATTTGTTGGATGAATGAATGAACACATCTTTATGAAGAGCAATGGTTCTGTGTAAGTGAATCAAATTTGAAGACACAAATTCTCCATGGGTTGAGCTGTGTTGAACTCCAGATGAGAAGGAATACTATCAGGACACCTAGTTATAGTTATCCATGTGATCCATATTCTCTGATAATAAACAATAGTCAGCTGGATAAATGAAGGGTTGACCCAATTAAGAATAACTGGATTAACAGATAAAGACAAAATATGCAGTAGAACTGACATATTTCAACAAAACATACCTTATAAAATGAATTTTCATCAAAGTATTTATATGGTATAGCAAAATATTGGCATGATATATAAATTATATATGTCATGTTTACACATTTTACATAGACTCTTCATTTTTTATAAATTTTAAATATCATTATATCTGATATTTTCTCTAGTTTCCAAATAGTTTAATTTTTCATGTATCTTATGACCTAGCTGATTATACCAATACAACAAACTATAACTGTAGTCAAAAAGAAAAGGAATATACTCGTAATTTGAATAAACTATTGTAGAATATGCTTTTTTAAAAAGTTTTATTTATTTATTTGAAAGGCAGAGTTACAGAAGGCTGAGAGAGAGAGAGAGAGGTCTTCCCTCTGCTGGTTCTCTCCCCAGATGTCTGCAATGGTTGGAGCTGCACTGATCAGATGCCAGGAGCCCAGAGCTTCTTCTAGGTCTCCCACATGGGTGAAGCGGATTTGGGCCATCTTCTACTGCTTTCCCAGGCCATAGCAGAGAGCTGAATCAGAAGTGGAACAGCTAGGTCTTGAACTGTTGTCCATATGGATGCTGGTACTGCAGGCAGTGAATTTATCAGGTACGCCACTGCCCTGGCCCCAGTATATGCTTTTTAAGTGAATAGACTCAGCCCATTGGGAACTGATTTTAGATACCTCAAGTCCAGAAAGTCACTGCAAATTCTCTAAGGTATAAGTTAAGGGATGTAAGAGTTTACAAAACAGACTATTTTATTCCATCTAGATGTAGTCATCACAATCATCCACTTCAAAAATTATCAGTGTGCCTCTGCTTTGTAGAAAGAGAAATCGATCAACAGAAGCAGAAATTTCCACAGATTGGATTAAATTTTTTTAAAAAGTTTATTTATTTGAAAAGCAGATTCACAAGAGAGAGAGATGGAGATGGAGACGGAGACGGAGACGGAGACGGAGACGGAGACGGAGACGGAGATAGAGATAGAGATAGAGATAGAGATAGAGATAGAGATAGAGATAGATAGAGATGATAGAGAAATCTTTCATTAGCTGGTTCACTCCCCAAATGGCCAAAATGACCAGGGTTGAACAGACAGAAGTCAGGATCCTGAAACTCCATCTAGAGTCTCCCACATAGGAGGAAGGGGCTCAAGCACTTGGGCCATCTTCTGCCCTCCTAAGCACATTAGCAAGAAGCTGGAATAGAAGTGGACAAATTGGGACTCAAGCCAGCATTCATAATGTGATGCATGTGTCACCACTATGTCAGCCCCAGTGAAAGATTTCTTGCCATATAGATTCCAGAAAGTAAGTAATGTACAAATTTTCCTATGAGTCATGTTTAAAGATTTATTGATCTATTTTGAAACTCAGAGTTACAGAGCGATGGGGGAACTAGAGATCTTCCATTCACTGGTTCACTCTTCAAATGGCTCCAATGGCTGGAGGTGGGCCAAGCCACAGCCAGGGGACAGGAAACAGGAGTTTTACCCAGGTCTTCCCACAAGTGGATACAGGGGCCCAAGTACTTGCTTCATCTTCTGCTGCTTTCCAAGGCACATTAACAGGAAGCTGGATCAGAAATGGAGCAGAGGGACTCGAATTGATATGTATATGGGATGCCAGCATTGCAGGTTGTGGCTTAACCTGTTATACCACGACACTGGTTCCTCAGGAGTCACTTTTGTCCAAAGTGCAAAGTTATCACATCTAAGTTGGAAAAGCAAGTTAAATAAGATAAAAGTGACAAAATCAAAATAAACAAAAAAGCCAACTTCTTCATTGGTTTATTTATTTAATGAAAGTTTTTTTGGGTAAGAGTGGAATCCTAAGAATGTATGGTAAAGTAATTCAGCTTTGTGAGTTTGTTTTGTTAATGACTTATGATGTTATCATGATAATATGAAATTAGATAACATATTGTATAAAGAATCCACAGAAAACCATTCCTTTTTATCTCTTTTCCTTACTCAATTCTTCTTCATCTTCCTATTTCAAGTGCCAGGGAACCAGAGATGATCTAGGTATTTCATTGTCCTTGAGAGTTGACTATTTAGTGGAGGAGCCATGTAATTATACAAAAGCAAAAAGCAGCCATAAATGTTGTATACACTATGTATGGATTATTGTATAAAACTCTTGCTCTGCCTGGAATTTCCAGAGGAGAGTTCACACAGGAGATAATGTGGAAGTAATGCTGGGCACTGTGGCAGGGGAGGAGAGGGCATTCATGCTAAGGCCAAGACACTATAAGTGGGTTAATATCATGAGGGTGTAAACTGTTTGTGGAGGCGTGGTAGGAGATGAAGATAGACTAGCACCAACACATGTAATGGCCTGAAGTGTCATGTTAAAAGCTGAAATTTTTTCTCTGTGGGCTATGGAGATACACAAAGGCCAGTAAGTAGAGATTATCTGGGCCAGGCAGTTTAGAAAGAGGACTCTTGTGACAATGTGGAAAGCAGAATGAAAACTGATTAAAAATCAAATAAATTAATTAGGAAAATGGGAATAAGGAAAACAAAATTAAAAGGTATTTAAAAGGTAATGGAGAGGATTTGATTAAGATGGCGAGATAGGGAGGGAATTTACCGCTATAGTTTAGAAGATAGTTTTAAAAAAAGTGGAGAGAGTACAGTCTCAGGGAAGAATTAGGGAGAAAATAGCAGAGGAAACTCCATGCAAATTAAAGGGACACAGTGGACCTACATGGAAGGTGTGGACACACACAAATCAGGACCTCAGCAGCTGAGAGCCTCTGAACCAGCTTTGGAGAGAGGTGAAACCAGACTGCAGCAGCCCAAGCCACTACTGATAAAGCTGCAGGAAAAGCTTGGAGATAATCCAGCTTGAAGCCTGATGGGGGATAGTGTACTAGCCTAACTAGAGAAGAAAGGAAGGGGGGGGGCACTGTTCTTTCTCACTGATCACCCTGCATTGGCGTCCTGTAACAAGAGAGCAGGCACCATTTTGAACATACATAACAGCTGTGCCAGCTCGTGCCCATGCCCAGCACCCAGCCAAGCAGAGACTCCTGAGTCTGGCCGGGAGAGCTGATGGGGGTCAGGGTGCTCCTGATTGTGGGAAGCTTGTGTTCCAAGACTGTGAATACATTGATACTGTGGAGCTTTGGAAACACTGAGGCTGGGACATTGGGCAGCCACTATGTGAGACTCCAGATGCTCTGGGCTCCATGGTTCCCTGGTGAGGAACAATGCTGGGGAAACTGCTTATACTGAGGACTGCACAGATCCTTTGTGTGGTCCTTATGGAAGTGTGGATGAATATTATACCCACTGGAGCTAGCACCCAGGCACTGGTTTCCACTGAGGAGAGGAAATGAGCTGAGTCTATGCCAACAGAATAGAAAAAACTCCCCTCTGGTTGAAAAAAAAAAAAAAAATTGCCATGCTCAACCTGGGTGTCATCTAACACTCCCTTCACACTGGAGCACAACAAAGCCAGAGGTATCACAATACCAGATTTCATGACATACTAGAGGACAGTTATAATCAAAACAGCCTGGTACTGGTACAAAAACAGGTGGGTAGATCAATGTAACAGAACAGAAACTCCAACAATCAATCGATGCATCTACAACCAACTTATCTTCAACAAAGGAGCTAAAATCAATCCCTAGAGCAAGGACATTCCCTAACAAATGGTGCTGTAGAAACTGGATTTCCACATGCAGAAGTATGAGACTAGACCCCTACCTTACACCTTACACAAAAATGCACTCATAATGGACCAAAAACTTAAATCAATGACCTGATACCATCAAATTATTAGAGTAATTGTGGAAACTCTGAAAGATATTGGCATAGGCAAATTCTTCCTGGAAAAGACTCCAGAGGTACAAGCGATCAAAGCCCATATTTACAAATGGGATTACATCAAGCTGAGAAACTTCTAGGTGACTACAGAAGGTGTTAGCAGTTCACTCCAAGATAGGGAGTGATTACTGAGAGAAGAGGAGAGGGAAGAAGAGGAAAGGGAAATGGAGGAAAGTCTAATTTCAAGTTGGGAATATGAGGACTCGTTGGCCAAGGTGACTGGGAAAACAGTAAGTGATGTGGGAGGTGGGCAAGGTGTTCCAAAAGCCAACTGAATAAAGTATTTTAGGGATGAGGGAGTGATGAACTTTTCAAAGTGCTGCTATAGAGTAGAAGAAGATTGGAACTGAGAATTGAGTAATGGATTCAGTAATGTGGAGGTTTTTGGTGACTTCACCAGGTCAATGTCTTTGGAGTGATGGATGAAAGCTTGATTGAAACAGCTTCAAGATAGAACCAGGGTTCAGAGAATGGAAAAAATGGATATAAACAACTCTTTCCAAGAGTTTTCCTAGAAAGAAGAGAAGAGACAGGTATGAGGGGTATGTGGGGCAGAGAAAATTGTTAAAATGACAGGCTTTATAACAGGTATATAAATAGTTGAGAACAAACAGTACAGTGATTGATGGTGTGGTAAAAAGTGACAAGGGCAGTTGCAGAAATAAATCCCTTTGAGTATTTTAGAGATGATGAGATCCAGTTTGGTATAGAAATGCTGTTTCAATATGAGTAGAAAAAAAAACAGTTCACTGTAACAAGAAAAGCATAGTAAAATGAGAATGAGAATGCAAGTATGTTGGTGACAATGTGACGGGAAATGAAAATGTTTTCTTCTGAATTTTCAGTTTTCTCAATGAAATGAAAGGTGAATTCAACTAGAGAGTGAGAAGTATGAAATATGCTAAAAGTTTGAGAAGAAAGAAGAAATTTTGAAGGTGTCCTAGAGGATAGTTGCAGGGTCAAAGAACGAGGTACATATAGAAAGACTGCAGGGACATTTCGAGAGTCCACAGCAGATGGATGGTTATAAACACAAACTGAAGCCAATCAGCATTATTATTTTCCCCAGTCCACATCATAAGGATTTAGTGCACAATTTCAAGTGAGTAAATAAGTTTCACCAAGTAGAGAAGGGAGAGCAAAGAAAAGGCAGGCATGTGCAAAGGAGTGAGTAAAAGACTGACCCTAGAGTCGAAACTGGGGAAGAAGGCAGGAGAAAACAAACTAAAAAAAATGAATCTTTGATAATGAAAAAGTTATGGGCTACAGATTGAGGAACAGTGCTGATAGATTGACGGCTTGGGAACAGTGCCTCAAAAGCATTGGGGATTCATGCAGCAGGCTTCCAGAGCATGACATTAAGGACAGGTCAAAGTCTAGGGTGATATGTGAGTGAGAGATGTTGTTAAGGTAACCAACTCATGGCTGGCACTGTGGCTCACTAGGCTAATCCTCCGCCTTGTGGCACTGGCACACTGGGTTCTAGTCCTGGTCGGGGTGCCGGATTATGTCCCGGTTGCCCTTTTTTTTTTTTTTAGAGAAAGATTATAATTTGGAAAGGGAGATGTGAATATGTATATATGTATGGGTTATAATTGTTTAAGTCAAAATCTAAGAAGAAAATTTTAATGGAAACAATTAAATGTGACCTTGACCCTTGAGTAATAACACTAGCATGAAAAGAATGATTATTTCAATTCTTGAGCTGTTAGTAAAAAAAAAAAATTAAAGCAGGATCCATGTGATATATTCTCAATAATTTGTTC